GTGTGTGTGTGTGTGTGTGTGTGTGTGTGTGTGTGTGTGTGTGTCGGGGGGGACTGGCTCAGTATTTACAGGAAATACATCGTTATTCACAAGCATTTGTGCCCCTGTGCCGAGACAAAATACTGAAAGCAGTTTAGCGCGCACGCTCCACACATGCGCACTATTGACAGCGCCCATCACGTCGAATAAACAACTTCCTGGTCCGGGAAAATCTGACATTATCGCGATAGACGGGCTGATCTGTTAGTACTTCTGCACTTCAGCGGCACGGGCCTGACGCTGGAATGCAAAAGCATAAGTTATTTAGCCCAAACAAAGAACCGGGAAACGTCGGCGCACCTTTTCAGAAGTATCACAGCTATCCCTCGGGACTCCGCTACAGCCCGAGACATGAAGGGGACTCTTAACGTGTGGTAAGAGCCATGGAGCCGTTTTAGTGGCTAACGTTGGCTGGCTTTAGCATAGTTAGCTAGCTAATCCATCAACACCCGGGCTTGTGACAGCAGCTGACCAGCCAGCCGGACCGAGCTAGGGTTAGCATTAGCATATTTAGCTGACAGGCTGTTGAATTAAGTTAGCCTGGTTTAAACGCATTGTTGGTTTAGGGGTTTATGACGCTGCGTTAGTGACAGGTGACATCGGAGCGTCTTCCAGGAGTGGAAGGATTGTCTTTTAGGGTGCACAGGTGCGGTTGTTTATGTGAGTGATGTACGGAGGCTAATTGATGCTGATAACTAGCCTGCTAGCTAGCATTGGTATGTCGTCGTTGCTTGGTGCAACAGTATGGCAAACAAACAACAGACTGACAGCCACCTCCTTACTTAGCACGCGTGTGCTAATGGGAGTAAATGGCACAATAATCCATGTTTTCGTTTCGTCTGTGTCTTCCATTCACGGATTAACTGTATTCGGTTAAATAAGCAACATGACATGCCGCACAGTGACTGTTTAATTGATACGTGCGTTAAGATTACTGCTGACACATAGGGTGTGTGACTGTCATTTGGCAGGCCGACAGTCCTGATGGGATCATTGCAGGAATTTCCACGTTCAATTATTTGTTTGCTTTGTTTGTCATCAGGGGATGAGACGAGATCGGTTATTTCGACATTTGCAGCTCTGGGCTCGTTGACTCTCTGTTTTGGCTCAGGATGGCGCAGGGAGGCTCTCAGCTCGACTACCACATCCTGCAGGACCTCAAGCAGCGTTTCCCAGAGATCCCAGAGGGGGTAGTGTCACAGTGCCTTCTGCAGGTACATATTGAAAGCTGCTATTTGGATTGAGACTTGTTCTAATATATGTATTAGTGCATCATGTGTTTGCACTAATTCTTGCATCGTAAAAACATTGCAGAAGATATTTATGATCAGAACATGATATCTATTAATCGCACTCCTTTCTGCCTCAGAACAACAATAACCTGGATCTCTGCTGCCATCTGCTGGCTCAGGAGAGTAACAGATACCTGTATGGTGATTTCCATCCCAGTCCAGAGGAGGGGCGGCTGAACCGAAATCCCATGCTACACATTAGCTTGGGCTACCCAGGTTCAGATGCAAGCAAATCAAATGGAGGAGCAGGAGGAGTAGGGCGCTCCCTAGTGCACAGCACCAGTGACAGTCACATCGATCCGCAGCGACCCAACTACCCCGAACCGCTGTCAGCCCCTGCCGCCATGGCTCCTTCCCCTGGATACAATCCTTTTTTCATGAATGATCAGAGCCGCTCGGCCAGTACTCCCACCCCTCCACCCACAATGCCAGGCATGTCTCCCACATACTCTTCTGTTTCACATTACACCATGAACCCTATAACAGTCACTCTTTCGCAAAGCATACCCAACGTCCCACAAGCTCTGCAGATCCCTCCTGGACACTACGCAAACAACACCAACCCAAGCCTGTACATTCGACCCTCGCCATCTCAAAGCCCGCAGCCAGCACCCTGGTCCTCCTCAGGTGCACCTGTCTATCAACATCAGCAGTCCCCTTACAGCACTCCCACATACGGCTCACCTTACAGCTCCCCACAGCATCAGGTCCAGGCGCAGCCCCAACCGCAACCCCAGCTGCAACCCCAGCACCAGCCCCAGCACCAGCAGTATGTCTTCCTCCCTATTAGCTCCCCAACTCTTCCCAGCATGCCCTACCATCACCAGCAGCCGCCCCAGCAACAGCCTCCTGTTTACAGGCCGTACCAAACAAAGAACCTCCTTAAGAACCAGATAGAGATTACTCTGGAGGGTCCGCGGCCTCGCAGCAATTCACCTGTGCACACTCCTCACCCCCAGGGACAACTTTACATGTCTACCAGTTCTTCGCCCAGCTCCCCTTCGAGGGGCATTGCAATGAGTGCAGGCCCGCAGTCGTACCACCCTGGGGTGTACATGCAGGGAAGACCTCGGCCCGCCTCGTCCCCTCAACCGGGGCAGTCAGCCTATACGTTCAAAATCAAAGTGTCCCCAGGAGGCCAGGCTCAGAGGCCCCCGAGCTCACCACCCGTCACTGAAGCCGAGCCTATTCTCAACATAGTAGACCAAGGGGCGCACAACGCCGCCCCTGCACCCATCCTGCCCATCTCCGCTCTACCGGGGACTATCACCAGTCAGTTTCAGCCAATGCCCAGACGTTCCAGCTCGGGCTCTGATGACTATGCCTACACGCAAGGTAAGGGCTTCTTGTTTTGGTTTGTCCATCAAAATCTTATATTTCAATATTCATATCATTTTATATATGTTATGCTTTGCAATACTTCAGATCTCGCCTGTCATGGGTTTATTAAGCAGCGTGACAACTTCTGCTGCTCATTGTTTGGACAGTGTGGTTGCAGCTGCACCTTCAGCCTTGTGATATTTTTTTACTGCTTTGTGCTTGATTGTCATCTTTAAGTATGTTTGGTTGTCTGCGTGTTGTGATGAGAAAAGGTGATTGTCAGCCTTTTTCTTTTCTTTTTTTAATTTAAGGCTGCATGTTGGTCTTTGGCACGTGTTAAGTACACATGACACTGCTTTCATGTGATTGTAGTCTTCCCCACGCCCTCTACCTGCACCACTTTCAGGCTTACAGCAGATTGGAGTCGCAGCAGAGCATTGCAGCTTTTCTTTTCCTTTTAAAAAAAGCCTTTTTGTGTTTGGTGCGTTTCCCTTCAGCTCTCCTGCTCCACCAGCGGGCGAGGATGGAGCGTCTGATGAAGGAGCTGCGGCTGGAGCAGCAGAAACTCGAGCAGCTGAAGGGTGACGTCAACAACATGGAATACGATGCCCTTCAAAGACGCTTCCGACGAGTCAACTCCACCAGTCTTATCCCCCGAGTAAGGCCTGAACGTGTGCTTGTCTTACATGTCAGTCTTTGTGTGCTGCTTCACTGACCAAAGCTATAAAGGCAAGCTGTGAAATGATCACTGATTTTATTGATTATTATTTTATTCACTGGGAACTGCTTGATTATTCTCTCAAGACCTTCGTGGCTGCTGCTTACCTTGCAGAGTTTTCACTTGACTTCATTTCGTTGATGTGCTGAAGGACTTGTCTGTGCATGTTTGTCCTGTTTGTGCAGTATTATCTAATCTCACCCGCTGCACACGCCTCACCGGTCCAACACCTGCAGTGAATGGCTTTTTGTGGTGTTAAGGTATATTGCCACCACTTTGTGGTGATATGTTGCCTGTAAAAACACCATATTTAAGGAGTATTAGAAAATAATCACTGAGACGGTCAAGCTGGTGTTAAGACTGGTTTGATTTCACTGCTAATACATATGAAAGTGGAGTGCGAGTGTGGGAGTGGGCTAATCAGACCGGCTCGTGTGCTTACTGTCTGCAGCCTGAGGAGATGACCCGACTACGCAGTCAGAACCGACAGCTTCAAATTGATATTGACTGTACACTGAAGGAAACAGATCTACTGCAGTCTAGAGGTATGCACGCATCACTCGCACACAAATGCATTCCCACACAAAGCTTTGAAGTGTCTCTGATTTATTTGAAAGCACTGTTCTTGAAAGAGCCGAGGCCTGAAGCAGACGGTGTCGGGTCCAGAATGATGGACGAGTATCCGCTGCAGCGCATGCAGATGCAGGCTTGTGAAATGACTGGCCGGTGCGTTGCAGGCCTCGGGCTGATCTGTGCTCGACCTCCACTCTGGGCCCTGCGTAGTATTTCGCTGGCACATGATTCTTGTTGAGTCTGCAGTTGAAACACTTGGCCTACAACACAGCGTGTGGACATTAGTTCCAATCCTTTATCTGTTTAGCAGGAGTGATGATGATGATGGAAGCAGCACACTCTCAGGGACCGTTTCCTTCAGGATTCATTTGGCTGTGTTCGTCTGACCCTCTGCTTTGCAAGATGTGCTGCAGAGAGCAGCCCCACAACTCGATGCTGCCACAACACACTCCATGGCACATTGTGTGTCTGTGGATGTGACATAAATGTTGGCCTGTGCGATCAGACGTTTCGTTCAACAGGATGGCAGCAAATCACAGCGCTTGTGTTCACCTGTGGCAGCACCGTTAGGAGTCTGATACCTAATTTTCTAACAAAGACAAGATTATCAGTGCCGTTAATTCAAGATAAGCTCGTGTGCCTGTGAGATGTGGCCTCATGTTATTCATGTCACATCGTGAGATTCTTGTTGTCCTGAAATGGTAGAATTAATTTGACAACACGCAAACATTTTACATAAAACTTGTTTACAACTTTCTTCTACAAACTCGAGGACTTTGCTTACAGAGAAAATCCAACAGTTATTTAAGTAAACGTCTCACCAGCCTGATAAAAGCAATCACAACATGTGTGAATGTGTCATTAATCTGTAATCTATTACTTCAGTTCAAACAATCGTTGTGAAGCCTGCTTGTTTGTTGTTTAACGATTCTGTGTGTGTCTGTTTTTCTTTGCTTCAATTTAATATAAAAATCTTTTCCTATAGATGGTAAAACACTTAATTATTTGTCATCAAACAGTTAAAGCAACAATTACTTGATGCTCCCAAAGTAGGATAAGACGTTTCAAGTAGGCCTGCACGATGCACGTCTTCTTCCAGGTGTTTGATTGGCCGACAAGTTGTTGAGTAAACTGAGTCTTTGTGACAGCTGCCTCTGTCTGTCGTTGCCTGTTGGGACAGTTCTGGCTGAAACAGGCTCTCTTTAAAACAAACTAAAGCTTTCTGTCTGATCTCTGCAGGGAAGTTTGACCCCAAAGCAATGAACAACTTTTATGACAATATTCAGCCTGGTCCTGTGGTGCCACCCACATCTGGAAAGAAAGGTAAGCACTTCTGCAGAAGTCAGAGACATTTTAATATTTTACCGAGGTGCAGATTTGAGGCTTCATTCAGATCTTTGTCTCACTTTGGTCTTAATTCTTACTGTTTGGTCTGTTCATGCTGACAGCTGTGAAATTAAATGACACAGAGCTTTTTATAAAGTGCTGCAGATGCATAAAAATGTGTCCGTTTAAACATGTGGTTGCTCGGCAGCATCGTGATGCGATAGGTGTGTAATTCAACTATAAACGAGTTTTTGTTGCCTTAAGATTAAAACAAAAGTCTTTTATAAAAAAGGATTTTAGGAACATAAACGTTAAAATCAGGTCAGTTTAGGTTAGTTGGTTGCTAGGCAACGTGTCGACATTATATCAGACTCAACTGAACTTTAGTGGATAAAAATCTGATTTCACTGTTGTGAAATTAAAATGCTGTGTAGCTTTTCTAAGGTGCTGTGGTGGCCCCACAGCTTACACGATCGCCTCACTGAAACCCTTTCGAGCATCTGGAGTTAAAGTTGGCCAAAACAAACATGCGGCACTTCCCACACTACGCACCCAAAAGTAGAACTGGCTGTAGTGCAGCACATCCACTAACTGGAAAGTTGGTGGTTTCTTAGCTTCTCCAGTTTGATAGCAGATACTGATCCCAGAGCTGCTTCACTCACATTCGATAAAATGATAGTTTAGCGTAGACAAAAGGAGTAGAGTAGGAAGGTGCTGTATGAGAAGCAGTTCATCTAGCATCATAATATCTGATGTAGAGAAAAACCTTCAGGGCCAGACGATGCACCTGTTGTTCAGCTGCTGAGTGTAGCAGGACCTCGGACAGAGATGTAAGATTCGCTCTGCGGTTTAGTAAATGCATGTTTCTGTCAGGTTTCACCCTTGAGCGATCGTGGCTCAAGAGTTGGGAGTTCGCCTTGTAATCTGAAGGTTGCCGGTTCGAGCCCCGGCTTGGGCAGTCTCGGTCGTTGTGTCCTTGGGCGAGACACTTCACCCGTTGCCTGCTGGTGGTGGTCAGAGGGCCCGGTGGCGCCAGTGTCCGGCAGCCTCGCCTCTGTCAGTGCGCCCCAGGGTGGCTGTGGCTACAATGTAGCTGCCATCACCAGTGTGTGGATGACTGGATGTGTAAAGCGGTTTGGGGTCCTTAGGGACGAGTAAAGCACTATATAGATACAGGCCATTTACCATTTTTACCATTTGAATGATTACCTGCATTCGTTTTAATGCAGCTCTGAGTTGCAGCCTTTCATTACTGATGCGCATGTTTTACCACGTGAATGAGCTTCTTTCTTTTTGTCAGAAGGGACACAGGCCTCGAAGCGGGTGCCCCAGACGGACGAGGACTTTGAAGGCGCCCAGTGGAACTGTGAAAGCTGCACCTTCCTCAACCACCCTGCACTAAACCGCTGTGAACAGTGCGAGATGCCACGCTACACCTGAGCTTACGCACTGTGCTGTATCTCCACTCCTGCCTCATCCCTTGCAAATCCCTGGATACTATAAGCCCCGCCCCTCTACAGTCTGCAGAATCTGTGTAGAGGTCTCATCCCATCAATCAGTATACGTCCCCTCCTACCTGCTGAGGAAGAGCCACTTATCCCTCTCGTCCTGCTCTGGTCCCCTACTCCTGTGCACTTTGACCTTTGTTTTCTTTGATGGATAATGACCACGGAGGGCTGGAGCTTCCGGCGGCAGACATGTAAGAGCAGACTGCGGCTCAGACGGCGGGCGCAGCAGGCTTCAGAGATGTCAGAGCGCTTTAAGGATTGAGGAGGAGGAGCTGCGGTTTACCTGGCGACCATTCCATGCAGAACTAATGACTGCCCTGTTTACACTGTGCCCATTCCCAAAGTACAAATGGAGACACTTGTTTTATCCAGGACCTCCAGCTCCCCCATTCTGACAGTGGAACAATGAAAGCAATGAGTATATAAGTTGTGACTAATGCGAAATGTAGACTTTACACTGTATCTGGCTCTGTATGAGAGCTCACTGAAAGAACACTAAAGACACTTGCATACGAGTATGTTCCTGGTACTTTTATGCATATTATTACCACCCTGTATTATGTGTTCAACAGATGTTGATTTCCTGTGCAAATGCCTCAACTTGCTGTACTTAATAAAAGAGCTGATTCTATGTGACTTGATCCGGCGCAGGTGCAGAGTTTCTCTCCTTCCCAAATGAAACACGCACGATTGATTTATTTTCTACTACATGTTTATTGGGTTTATCAGACCAGTGGGAATTGTAAATGCATGCATACATTCATTTACTTTGATGTTGCAGGAGGGAGTTCATGAACGCTATAAAGGAGCTTTAAGAAGACGCCCGTTACCACAGCACGCCGCCGTAGGTCGTCTACCTCGCGGTCCTCGTTTCACTCGTACACAGCACGTCTCACTCTGGCGTGCACCTTCGCTCAGACGCTAAAACCGAGTCTGTTGCCTTTTTCAGCTACAGTCTAGGGAAGCAGATGTATTTTTAATGGTGCCTGTTGAGAGCATTTCATTTCCTACTGAGGGAAGATAAGGAGGCATCACACGGGTAGGTCTGTGAGCACATGCTGGGTGGTATGATCATGCACACTCGCTCAGCAGACGTGGTCATTTGCCCTCTACCTTCCTACTGCTGTGCTTGTAACTAACAAGCTTTATTATTTTATTTATGATGCAGTTTCCTGAAAAAGAAGGTATGACTGGGGGTATTTGAAAGGTTCTCACAGCAGGTTTACTAAAGCCAAGACCAGGTGATCTCACGATCGGCCGCTACTTTTAGATCGCCCTCTGACACTGATGCTGGATCTGCCATAGTGTAAAAGCTATGATCCGGGGCCGGGCAGCAGCCTAAGCAAGGATGCCCAGACCTCCACAGCCCAGCCACCTCCTCCAGTTTATCCTGGGAAATGCTGAGGAACCTCTTCAGCTCGACTCCTGTAGCTGGACATCTTAAACCAGCGACTGTCCTCCCTATGGAGGGCTCAGGTTCAAACAATTCAATTCAATTCAATTTTATTTATATAGCGCCAAATCACAACAAATGTCGCCTCAAGGCGCTTCATAGATACAGAGAAAAACCCAACAATCATATGACCCCCTATGAGCAGCACTTTGGCGACAGTGGGAAGGAAAAACTCCCTTTTAACAGGAAGAAAACAGAAGCTAACGTTTGCAGTCTGTGGTCATGGATACTTGGAATTCCAGGGAGCGATCTAAAAATAACAGCTGTGCTGGAAGCTTTGTGGGCGTGTCGCGGGTAAAAGGTAACTTTGAACGTTAGATGACCAAATTAAATTCAGGCAATGCTTTGGATTTTTTTTATAGTTTTGTTCTCAGAACTTCTTGATCGCATCTTGTAAATCAGGTTTTGTGTAGAAGACACTCGTGAGTGAGTCACTAACTAGGATTGTGTTACTTCCACCCGTTTGGAAGGTGTTAGCTGTCTTAGGTAGCTTCTGTTTGTTTATTGACCCAGTTATAATAGACACAAGCAGGACAGGACAAATGCAGTGAGTCCAGGGAGCTCGGTGACATGCTTTCTCCGATATATTAAAGTCTGCTGGCAGCAGAAGAAAGCTTGGCCAGCCTCCAGTTATTGTTGCGTCTCTGGGGAAATGTGGCATGTTGCATTCTTTAGGTGTGCCTCCTCAGTTTGTCATCCTCAGGATATCACTTCAAAAGAATGTCTTCCTCTCTACATCTCCTTCTCTTCTCTGATTGGCTAATTAGTCCATCAATTCCTCCGGGTATGGGGCCAGCGAATCCATCTGTTCACAACACACCTTGTGTCCAGAACTAAGACCTACTGGAGTTACACTTAAAGGGGACGCAGGATTATCTGACCGGTGGCATTCGCTCCCAAATGAAAGTGCCTCGCTTCTTTATATGACTGGATTCGCTGCCAACCCTCCTAAGAGACCTCAGGGCTTCAGTCCAATGAGCAAGGACAGCATTTCAGACAAGTTCACAGTATCAAATACAAGAGCTCCTTTCCAGTCCTGAAATTTTTAATGAGCATTTTTTTCCTATTTCTGGTCTGGTTGTGCGATGTGTAACAGAGGTGCTATTACTAATGTGGACACTAGCTGGGTGAGGTCCCAGGTTTCTCCTCTTGTCTTTTCAGTAGTAGTCTTCATAGTTTTTGGGGTTGAGGCAGTAGAGGAGGGCGCCTCCGAAAGAGAAGATGGTGGATCCCCATGCCAGGCCGTAGCCCCAGTTAAATTCATGGTAGATCCTCAGACTGACCGTCTCTATGAACTTGATGGGGAAGAGAACCAAGCTGCACACTTGGAGCACAACTGCAAGAAAAACAGACAGTTCAGACGCAAGATGCATCATTAAAGTTGGGGTCTTCCTGTGCACATTCGATGAAAATGTATTTTCTTTACATACCTGCAGAGAAAAGCATGACGGCCACAGGCTTGTAGCAGCGACTCCTGGAGCCAAAGCACAGGGAGAACAGCGCCACGAGGAAGGCGAGCAGCGTGAGGGCTGCTCCCCCCAACAGCAGAGCCAGGGTGGCGATCTGCCAGTCTGAGACGAGCACAAACACAGGGGCAGAGAGGAGGGAGAGGGGGAGGGAGGAAAACCGTGAAATCACACTGAAACAGAGAGTGACACAGGTAGCTAAAAAAAGGTTACTCTGGAGAGCCGTGTCGGCGCTGCTGACAGGAGGGGGGAAGCGGAGAGACAAGATGAGGACGGATAAAGGGAAGAAGACAGGCAGCAGGATAGGTCACAGGCTGCAGTGGTTAGCCACAGTAACAGTGCAATACTCAGTCCCTCAAAAGTAAATAACACTGGTGGTGAATTGCCACAGTGTAAACACAAACTATTTGTGGTTCGGAGGCTGAGCGATGGCGGCGATGGCTCGGAACGTTTCTGAGCCACCGGGGACCCGTTGGCGGGGTGCAGATGAGGAATGCAAACCCTCAAACTGAGCACAGCCCTTTTTCTGGCACGAACACGCGCCTGGTTACACGTGCACATTTCCAACAGTCCAGTAATGGATCCCAATGGAGCAGAAAGGTGACTCTGACAATGAGTATATCCCTGTCGGCTGATGACTGCTCAGCAGCATCCTCAGCATCCCATCCACACTTGAGTGGAAATAGCTGTCTGCCCCAAACAGACGCAGCTGTGAAAGGCAGAAAAATACGATCGTAGGCTTCTTCTTCTTTTTTAGATGCCTTGCCTTTTTCTTGAGAAAACAGTTTTTCTTAGTCTAAATTAGCCACGGGACACCAACTGACTGTTGAGAGACAATATACGTTATTGTTTAGAGATTAGGGGTCTCTTTCATTGCTTTACTGTTTACTTGCGGAAACAGAAGGTCTGCATGTAAACAGGAGGAGGATATTATGATGAAGCATTTGATTACACAGGAGGAAATCGTTTAAAGTACGGTGGGTGGAAAAAGGTAAACATCAAAGCATAAAGGGGATTGGGCTCTGTATACGCGGCTCAGTATTACAGAGTGTGGAAAAGTTTACAGTGACTGACTAAAGTTGATTTAGTCTGTTTTTAGTACGTGTACGAGGTATTGTTTATTACGGAGTCTGGGAAATAAAAAAAGATTAAGCATGGCTGAGAATACTTCCTCTCTGCTGAGGCAGAAAATCATTAAAACAGCAGAAGAAAGTGACGGAACATAAGCTGCTTAAAATACAGTTCCCACTCTTGTTGGAGGGAAATTTTATTGGAGGGGCCAAGCAGCTCAAATATAAACAAACATCAACCACTTCTGACCAAATATGGCTCAGGATTTAGAGTTTAAAAAATGGGTCCTGTCACCACAGGATGTTGGAGCGAGCCCACAAAAAGCAGAGCACCACTTTTCCTTCAGCCTCCCTGCTTTCACAACCACAGCGACCCCCTCGCTGCTGCTGCCTCTCAGCAAAGAGGGAGGGTTACACTGACTTGACCCGCAGCTGTCACAGACCCATCGCTGTTGAGATACTGTATCTTTCCTGGGTCATTTTGGTGCCCGCAGCCCAGCCGGCGCGCAACTTTATCATGAAAACAGCAGGATGCAGAAAGTCATCTCATCTCAGAATTGGAATGGATCCTGTTCGCTGTGCGAGAGACACAGCCAGAGTTAGGGTGCTTAAAGGCTTTGACGAGCAGGAAGTGCCAAACTGTTAATCTGAGCCCCGCACGATAACAGATGGAAAAGGAGATACAGTACACAAGATCCAATCTGAGCATTAATTATGATCCTCTGTACGGATGTCAGGAACTGCTGAAGTGTTAAGCAAATAAATCCTTCAAGGCCCCCGATTCAGTTGCTTTGTCTCAGACAACTGTGGAAGATCTGTGTCACAGAAGTGCCTCGAGTGTCTCTCTCTCTCGCACTGTCACACAATCTCAGCCTCACTCTCTCAAGGCAGCAGGATGAAGGCCTGTTTGAAGAAGCACCATCTTCAATCGGAGGCTCCAGGTTCGTGTCCTCTGTGTCGCTGAGCTGAGGCTCTGTCCCACAGAGCCGGTATGTGGCCTGCACAGTTCTGTGACCTCCCGTAAAGAGGAAGCAGGCCCCCAGAATGGGATAGCTAACATATTACATTATTAATGCGCTTTGCCATCACTGCATCTCACTGAGCTGGACGTGCTCACACTCTGGCTCCACATTGATATCCTGATCTCGCACCACCCTGGCATGAACACACTGCTGCTGCTGCATTCCTGGCTCTATGTGGAGTCTGTAGCATTTATACTTGACCACCGGCAGCTCCTGACTACATGTGTGTGCGTGTCTGTCTGAGCGAGAAACACGCAGACAGGATAACCTATATGCATCTGCACAAACACTAGAGCACGTAATGAGGCCATACTTGATGTCTACCTTACAGCACATTATTACGGTTTAAAGAGAACTTTGTGCAGAACAAGTTCAAAACATCTGAGCTGCTGTTTCAGACTAACAGGATCTATTTAATGCCCGAAGCATGACACCGAGGAAATATCGCGGGTTGATGAGGGGAGGGGGTGGTTAGAAACTGATTACTGGGATTCAAATCAATAAGCCCTAGCCAAGCACGAGCCTGAGGAAATGGGAAGTTCACTGTGTGCATTTACTGTGGTATGCTGCTGCTGCTGCTGGGAGCTGACACGGAGACTACGTGTCTTTATATGGCACCAAAGTGCACTTTGTCTGCGCTGACAGAGGAGGAATGGGGCCAGAGTGGCCCGCAGTTACTCATCTCAGACAGAAAGAAAACATTTTGTCAGACTAACAAAAATGCAATTCACCAGTCAGCACGCAGGAGCCGCTCAGAGACAGCAGAAACACAGACAGGAAATGTTAGACAGTCTGCTCAGGGATACAGCAGGATAAACCCGTGTAAGCTTTAGGCACATTTACAAGACAATTAAAATGACAAACCTTCTCTGTGCGATCAGTTTCGACATTTTTTTGCTTTCATTGTGTTGCAAGATGGATCGTCATCTACAAACTGTGGCTTGAAAGCCTGCCAGTGCGTTAGAAATGTCATAAAGGGCTGTTGCACTGCTTTACATATGCAGTAGATATTTTGCACAGCGCTACAAACACTCAACTAGCGATAGGATCAATTTTCTGAGAGTTCAGCCAGCTTCTCTCTTCCTTTCTCTCGGTGGATTAGTAGCTGTGATGGAAATATGAAATGCTTCTAGAAAAAAAAGCTAAGTGAGGGGACTCCATAAATAATTTTTTTTCCCTAATAGAGAAAATTTCTGGAGTGTTTCAGCTTGTTTCCCTGGTTACTAATCTGCAGGCATCTGGATCTCGGGGGAGTTCTCTGCTCTGAGCTGCCCCTGCTCCTTGGCCGGTGAAGAAACCCACACAAAGGCTCATTTTGATCGCAACAAAAGGCCAAATGAAACCCCAGCTGGACCGCTCCTGGCGAGGCAACATTCCCACATCATTCTGTGGCGCACTGAGCAAACGCTTTAAGCAAAAAAAGAGTCAAACGGCCTAGAAAGAAACCAACGCGTCTTATTCATCAGACTTGTGAGACTTCACTTTTTCCTGTACTCGATTATTTCCCAATTGGACAGCAGTGCGCAACACACCGTTCTAGATCCTATTTCATGCAGAAAATGTCGGCACTTTAAATTAAACAGGCAATAGCTAATTATAAAGTAATTAACATCTAGCACTCTCTGGGGTGATGTTTTATAATTCTCACCCACAGAACAGATTGGTTCAGCAGCGCACTCTCCGCGGGGACCCTTTGTTATCCCTGAGAGCTGTGCATCGCACTTCATTTGAATATGAATGTAGGTGTCTGTCTGCGCCCACAACCCTGCGATTTCGAGGGTGAAGCATCCCTTAAAACTACAACACCCCACTGGTTTAAAACTTTCAGCCAACATGGTGGCACGTCACGCCAGCAGCCGCAGTGTTAAGCGTGTCTGTGCGGGCACATGAGCGTCTTTCTCACCCGTGGCCAGCGTGCTGTTGCAGGACCAATCCTCGGAGCTGACGGGCTTCCAGCAAGACGCCCACAGGGACAGGGAGTACTGGTCATCCGCGGTGACCCACGCCGGGCTCAACATGGCACCGACATCCAGGCAGAGAGCGAGAAAGACGCACACAAGTCCCACCAACTTCAGGGGCGTCAACGCCGTCACCCGCACCTCCTCTGTGCCGCTCACGGATGAAGCCATGTCTAAAGTATCTTACTCATTAAATAACAAATAGTAGCAAAAAACAATGAAACAAATGCGGGAAATCGCCAACCTTGAACCAGTAATAACTTGCGGTTGTTCCCTCTTGAACGCGCACAGTGTGGTGGCGAGCCTCCGCTCACTCTGCGTCCTGAGCCCAGAGGACGCTGCCGCGGTGTGTGCTGTGGATCCGGCGCTCTGCCGACGGAACCGTGCCACGGAGCTCTAAAATAACGGGGCTGCACCTGCTGGGTCCTAGTGCCAGGGTGTGTGTGTGTGTGTGTGTGTGTGTGTGTGTGTGTGTGTGTGTGTGTGTGTGTGTGTGTGTGTGTGTGTGTTCTAATGCTCTCACTGATAACCAGACAGATTTATGTTTCCATATTCAGATATTTGGGGGCTCCCAGCTGTTGTGGTCCTGCTCTTGATTTGAGATCAGTTAAATCTTAATGTCACGGTACTGGGTCGTGTGACCCAGTGTTTGAGTTTTTATGTATCTTTTGTATTAATTTGGTTTCTAGTTTAGCTCATCTAGTTAATTTCTAAGTTGCAGTTTAGTCCTTTGTGTCTTAGTTGTTTCTGGCATCTCCCCCTGTACTGTCTACCTGTCATGTTTCATGTCTGTGTGGTCCTTGTTGTCAAGTTCGTGTCATGTCTGTCTCCATATTTCCTGTTTTATTTTGAAAGGCTCTGGTGTTCTTGCTCATTGCATTTAGTGCCCCTGTCCTGTCATTAGGTTCATGTGTGGCAGCTGTTCTTCCTCATGTGTTCCCCTGATCACCCCTGTGGGTATTTAGTCTGTGTACCTTCCCTCTGGTCAAGTTAAGTGTTTTTCAGGATTCTGTGCAGTTCGTGTTTGCCATTTGGTTTATGTTGTTTTTCATGCAGCCGCACGATGAGGTTCCGTGCAGGTCATGTTCATGTCTGTTTCGTCACGCCATTTGGTTCACAGTTTCCATGCATCTGCACAGCATTCTGTTCACAGTGATCATAGTTTTCCCTTTCAGTCATGTTAGTGTTTTTCCAGTTTAGGTTTCTGGTTAGTTGCCTCTCTGTCCCTGTTATGTTTTGTCTACTCCCCTCTATATCAGCCCAAATAAAGGCTCTCTTTCAGTTTAAGTTCACTCCCGTCTCCTCACCTGTGTTCGCACCTGGGTCCACCACACACACCTCCTTATAGCGCTTTATCACCCCAGTAGAGCGCTTTGTTCTCAGACTGTTGGCTTACTTGTGGTTCCAGGATATTTAAAAGTAGAATGGGAGACTTAAGCTTTAGCCCAGTTTGGATTTGGGCACCAGACACCCTCTTAGGCTTAAAAAAAACATTTTTCATGAAGCATATATTTAGGGCTGCATCAGGTGACCCTGAATTCTCCCTCAGTTATTCTGCAGAAGGCCTAGGATGCTGGAGGCTTCCCATGATGCTATGAGTGTTTTTTCTCCCCGCCCTGTGTGTTTATACGCCCCTCTGTATTTTGTTATTAACCCCTGGCTTTGTTCGACACCTTGTCTTTTGTCCTGTCTCCCTCCCCTCACCAGGGACCCGTCACAGCCCTGAGCCTGCTTGTGCTGGACGTTTCTTCCGGTTAAAAGGGAGTTTTTCCTTCGCACTGTCACCAAAGCGCGTGCTCATAGGGGCTCATCTGATTGGGTGCAGTTTTCTCTCTTTTCTCTTTATCATTGTAGGGTCTTTACCTTACAAATAAAAGCCCCAACTTAAAACCTTTTAATGACGCAGCCTTCAGTTCATAGATGTTGTTTTGTTAAGTTTTTCACTCCCTTAAGTCACTTTTCCAAAAACTGACTGCAGCTTCTACCTGGTGATAGGAATGTTCTTTCTGGCTCAAAAGGCATTGATGTTATTCCCGAGAGGCATGTTTGACATATGTTTGACGGATTATAGGCCAAGAAGTCATTTCTGAAAGTTTACATTCTTGCAACAATGGATGCCCAGTGCATCCATAAGGCAGCATGTTAGTGCAAGAATCTGAGCTAATAATTAACTAATTTTTATTCTTTAACTGTGTGTTATTTCACAAATTTAAAGTATTGTGTACAATTTATCATCAGTTTTCACTGGATGCCTAAATACATGTCATAGCGTGAGTGTGACAGTAGGTGTGTTTTATTGTAGGATACAGGAAGTCCAAAAAGCATAGCTGAATATTCCTGAGATGCTGTCTGTGATCTCTATGTTATATGAAATCATTGTTCAAATTGCATTAAATAACCATTCAATATAAACTCACTGGACACTTTATTAGGTACACCTTGGTGGTACTGGGTTTGACCCCTTTTTGCCTTCAAATCAGTTTTAATTGTTTGTGGCATAGATTCAACAAGATGCTGGAAATATTCCCCGCAGCTTTTGGTTCATACATGATAGCATCACACAGTTGCAGCCGCGTGACGTGTACAGACCATTCTCTGTAAATGCCAGATATTGCTATGTGGGAAAAATCCCAGCAGACCGTCTGGCACCAACAACCATGTCATGCTCAAAGTCACTTAAATCCTCTGTTCTTCCTCATTCTTATGCTCAGTTTGAACTTTAGGAGGTTTTTGTTTCTATGTCTACATGCCTGTATGTTGCTCCCATGGGATTATCCATCCATCCATCCATTCACTTCCGCTTATCCTTTTCAGGGTCG